CTGCTCCGCCAAGCGTGTGCTAAAAGCTGCTGCTACTGAGGCTGCTGATACGCAAAGGTAAGGGAAGAACTGAGACTGACTTGTGCTGCCCTCGGCGTAAGAAGGACGTGGAACTGTTGGAGCAAGCCCAGAGGAGGCCACGAAGTTGCTAAGAGGACCCCTGTGAAGCCAGGCTGAGGAAGTTGGGGCTGTTCAGCCTGGAGAAGTTGTGTGCAGACCTCGCAACACCCTTCCAGGATCTGAAGGGGCTACAGGGAAGCCGGAAAGGAACTCTTCGTTAGAAGCTGCAGAGACAGGACAAGGGGCAATGTGTACAAATGGAAAGAGGGGAAATTTAGGATAGATACTAAGAGAAGGTTTTTCCTGTGAAGGTGGTGAGGCACTGGAACAGGTTACCCAGGGAAGTAATGTATGCCCCAGCCCTGGCAGTGTTCAAAGCCAGGTTGGATAAAGCCTTGAGCATCCTGGTCTGGTGGGAGGTGTCTCTGCCCAGGGCAGGGGCTTGGGGCTAGATGATCTGTAAGGTCTATTCCAACCCCCTAAAATTCTATGATTCTATGACTATTTTTGTATTATATTTCACTTTTAACTACAGTTATTTATTTAATGTGTACTAACTCAACTCTCACAGTGCAAGGTGGAGCTGTCACCACCTAAGGGACAGGGATAGGCAGAAGGCAGATACGGCTTTTTTAGCTGTATCAGCCAATACAAGAGAGAGTTTGGCCACAGCAGTAAACCATCAGCAAGCACTGAAATGCAGTCTGGGTCATGAGTTTAAAAAGCAAAGCTCTTCAGTTCTCATCATCCTAGGTTGCAATTAAACCATATTCTATACAATTACACTGGAAATCAAACATTTATGTCGTTCTTAAGATTAAATTATCTAATCTAAACAAAGTTAAACTGAAGTACCAAAGCTATTCTTCTGTTTAGAGGAAATAGTACAACATCATCTACCTTTTCTCACATTCCTCTAGCAGCATTGTTTCTTGTGCAGTTATGTCCATTAAGGTTCACTTTCACTCTGCCCTACATTTTGATATTTAAGGTATCCCCATGTCAATAATAACAACCCTATTTTGTATTTTATACATTTGCTTAGAAAAGTATTTCTAATACAATTAGGAACTATGGGAATATTTGGGAATCAAGGCTTTGAAATTATTTTTTAAAAACAATGGAAGTGTTCTGGTTATTTTACTCATCCTAACCCAAACTTTTAAGTCCAAGCAAATTTAATCAGTACTGTCATGGGAACTAGAGGGAGCTATTAATTTAATTTAATAAACCACCACCACCAAACAAACAAAAATAATTAAAATAATACCCCAAAGGCTGGTGTTACGACCACTGAGGTGTTTCTTGGCTATTCTGGAAAAAAACCCAAAACTCCACACCCTAAGTCCGTCAGATTCTGCAGTGCAAATAACAGAGGCAGATGAGCAGCAGCTGACCTGACATTTTGTGCTCTCTCTGTCTCACTGGGCGCCAGATAACCCCAGAAGCAAAGGAACTGCAGAGAGTTTACTTAAGAGGAGTTTTGCTTTCTTTTTTGTGCTTCGTTAATGAACACATAACTGGCTGAATGTTGCAGTAATGTCAGTGCTGTATCACATAAAGAATTCTTACCATTACGATAATGCTCATCATTGCTGACGATACAGATTTTATCACTTGCCCAATCTGAAGAGCATTCAGGCACAGAAGTATCTGATCTATCCAGTTTCCTTCTGGTTTGATCATAAGGGGAAAAAAAAACAGGTTTTGCATTACAGTTGTCAGCTTCACATAATTCCAGCTGTTGATTTTGTTTTTTGTTTTGTTTAATATTGCAAATTTATTTTCCTTAACTAGCTTAACACTTACCATTACTTGGAACATAGTTCTGGATGGCATCTGAGAAAGGCTTTTTGACATCAAATGGAGAGTCAGCTACTGAACTGTCCATTTTTTCTTCAGAATTTCCTGAAGCAGTCGCTGTTGCTTTTGAATCTTGGTCACTGCTGCTTTCATTGTCTACAGCTATATTAATTTCATGTTCCTTCTTTGCTGTTTCTTCTAGTAGCTTTCTTCTGCCTACTCCTGCAAATAATTGTAAAGGGAAATCATGGTGATTTTCAGAGGATTCAGCTGCCACACACAGACTCCTCTAAGATACTAACCACTACAAAGATTTAGGTATTTTTATTTTCCTCAACTTAAAGCCAAGTAGTAGAGTACCACGTTAGAATATATGTGCTACAGATTTATGATTTAAGAGATACGACTCAAATAATAATCTCAGAGTCTGGAGGAGAGAGCTTTAAGCAAAACTTGTGCTGTAGTAAAGTAGTTAAAATCAATGTCCAGAAAAAAATGTGATTGGTTTTGATAGTTAGCCTATAGATTCCCTGGCCAGGATTAGCAGATCTCTTTCTCATACCCAAATACAAGAGGGGTAAGTTTTAGAAGAACAATTAAAAATACCATGTAGGATTAAAGATTAACAGCTTCCCACAAGATAACAAGCTTCCTGCAAAATACAAGAAACCAGAGGCATGTTCATGCAGAAGTATAACTGAAGGCACTTGGCTGCCTCAGTGTTGGTGACTTGGAGTAAATTGCCCGAAGCCAATAAAATGCCTCTTCCAAAAAACCCACACCTTGCTTAAAAGATAAATTTACAAATTGTTTAATTCTATGCTTCAAGACATTACTGGCCAAAGATGCACATCACAAATCATCCAATAGTCAAAATTCAAGATGAGTGATTGGCTCTTAAACTGTTACCACTGTTTTAACTCAACCTTATTACCAGATCCTCAAAATACCATAAATCAGTCATTAAGTACTGTGAGTTAGGCTTGCTGCCTCTTCATTTTTAATCACCAGAAGGAGAGAGTGTTGTATCTGTTGTATTTTTATCTGCAAACAAAGGATATTTTGTTCTTGCTAAATCACTGTTAGTGAAGCATTAGTCTAGTAACTTTAGCTGCAGTTTGGGCAGCACACTTAATTGTTATAGCAGACAAAAGGTCTGGCAGCTCTAGAAGAACATTCCTTTTTTTCTGTACATTTTTCCTGCCCAGTGTCAAAATTATGCCCCTTTTGTGCAGACACAATCACTCGTTCCCTCCACGTGTCACTGTCTTTAGTTGAGTAAGCTGTGATTTCATGATGAATCTTTTCAAATTGCTGGTGCAGCTGCATCAGTTTGCTTCCTTCACAGAGATATTCTAAGAGTTGCTTAACACCATGTTTTAACTTTCAATAAAATTGTGGGAATGTAATCAGTGGGTTTGGTAAATCTGTTTATCGTGCAATGTTTGCCTGGTTTTGCTTGCTTTGTGGGACATGAACTCTGCCTGCCCTACTATGATTTTGTCAATTTCCTTGTTTTCCAGTATTTTTTCCAAGCTGTTCTTTCCCAGTTTTTTCTTGCATGATTTCTATATTGATTTCATCATTGTCAGCACCTTCTCCACATTTCGTTATATCTTTTCTTGTTCAGATTTCTCTTCTCTTAACTCCATCTCATTCTTCTGCACAGTATTTAAATATACTAGTCCTGGTGTCACTTCTATTTTCATTTGGGTTTTTGGACAAAACAGTATATGCTTAGACTCTTTTTGACAGGCTTAATTGTTAGTTTTACTAAATATATTTGCAAAGAATGCTGATGGTCTGGTAAAAACACTACTGAAACCTTTCTGTTAGAATATAATTGTTATTATTTATATTTCGGGACTTTGGTTTTGAGACTCTTTTTCTTTTCCCCTCCTATCTAGTTTTAGTAGCAGAAATTAATTTTTTTCAGTATTATCCATCCTTTTGGTTACAACAGTATCTTCTTTTTCAACATATGCTCTTATCAGCCAAGTGTATGAGCAATCCCAGGTTGCTGAGATTTAATTAATGTGGTTTTTTTTAATAGCACTCTGCCCTTCTAGTCTGAGGGGTTTGGGAGACACTGTCTTTTATTTTCTTTTTCTTTAAATATGTCTTCTCTTTTAGAGGGCTTCTAGGGTAAAAGTTCACATTTGGTCAGGCTAATAGCACATGACTGCTGCTTTTATTTTCAGTAAATTTTCTTGGTAAATATTTTTTTGACCTTGAATTCAGCTGAAGAATTTGGTATTACTGTGCCTTTTGAAGCAGTGTTTGATGATGCCTTCCAGAACTCTGATGCATTTTCTATGCTTTTGTATCTTGCACTGTCGTGGTGCTTTGAATTGATGGGCCTAAAGCTGAGGATACGGAATAGTATTTTCTTTTACTATACCACAGGTGATTTTTATATTTCTTTCTAAGATCTGGAATAAGACTGTCCATTCCAAGCAGCTCATATTGGGAATATGAATCCTCCTGTGTTGCTTCTGCTTCACCTTCTAATGACATTGCATGCTTAATAGGAATTTCTTCAGCTGGTGGTTTCTCTCTGACAAGCTATCAGCAAGTGCATCAAGGGTTGTCCAGTCTTCTACTAGTCTGGTAGATTTTGTTGAAGCTTTTTTCTTCCACTGCCCTGTTTGTTATTTTGCACTGCCAGCTGAGGAGAAAGATGATTCTGTTTGGAGGGATCCAGATTACTGTCACCTGATTCATTGTGTTTAACCTTCTGATTTGAAGTGCCTTCAGTTTCTTTTCCCTGTGGTATTTTATCAAGGCTTACAAAGGCCTTTTTTTATTATGGAAGTTTAGTTCTTCTCAGCATGCAGTTTTTACCTTCCATTCTGAAACTCCATACATCCTCCAAGTGGCCAGTTTCTTTGGAAGTTTTGGTACCTGTTAAACCAAAGCCATTAGGTGAGGGATGAGGAGAGAAAGGTTGGTCTGGAGTTAGTTCTTGGGACTCCTCAGATTTCTGATTCTGTTAATTAAAAATACCCTGACTGAAATCTTTGATGTTGTTTTCACAAAAACCCAGTGGGTTATGTTTATTTTCTGGTTTGTGAATCTTCTCTTTTACATCATTATCCATTTTGAAATGGCTTTTGCATGTTGAATTTTGTTCTGTATCACAGCCTTAGACTGGTTTGTCTCTCAGATGCTTCCTGACTAAGACATGGTTCACTGTCACACTGGGTGTTCTTGATGCCCAGATCATTTTCTGCAGGTCCCAGCAGTTCCCCATAGCTCTGCACTTGCTCTTCTTTGGCTGTTGAACTCCAAAACTTCAGTATGTCTGCAAAAGGACTAAAAGAGAAGAAATGGCTCTGTCCTTCATATATGCCAGGATTTTCTTCTGTACTTTTTGTGCCTGAGGGATCACAATTCTGAGGTGGGCTAGGACAAGAAGAAATGTGATCTGATGCAATTGATTCATATCCCTGTTGATTATCACATGTGCCCATATTATAATTAAAAAAACTATTATAGATATTTGTATACCAACCTGACTGGCCATGTCTGCTTTCTGACTCCTGATTCATCTTGTCAGCTTCAGTGTTTTTCAGCAGTTGGCTTTCTGATATCAAGTCTTCTTCTGAACTGTAAGGTTCAAGTGGCTTCTCTTTATCACATGTTAGTATATCAGGAGATGATTCTGTGCTATTTGAGGTGCTTTTGGTGTCATTAAGAGTATGTACATTTGCTGGTATCTCCTCAGGATTTGGCCCATTACTGTTTGAACCTACTATTTCTTGTGCATAATTCTCTTCGTCTTCATCTGTCACTGCTTTAAATGTCTCCTTCGAGTCTTTGTCCATATGTGATTCTTTCTGGTCTGAAGTCTGCTCTTCCTCATTCTTACTTGCTTCATCCTTCATTTCTCTGCTTTGCTGGTCCTCTGTAGCAATTGTATCTGTCTCAGCATGGCCAAAACTAAGAACATCACTTAAACCCAAATTAAACCAATTTGATTTGGATTCTTGGCTTTCACTTTTTTCTTCTTCTGACAGTAACTCTGTGGCTGCTGTTTCTTGTTCAGTATTGGAATGCCCAGGCACACCAGAAACATCATGGTCTTGTGGATCATTTTGTTCTGATGCCAAATTAACATCCTCATTCTCTTCACCAAAATACAGAAAGTTTGTCAGTCCACCTTGAAACCAACCAGTTGCTGGGGGTTCTTGTTCCTCCTTATCATTTGTCTCCTCTAAGTCATTTTCAGCAGTTACCACTATTTTTCGGCCTCTGTATGTATTTTCTTCTAAAGATTCAGTAATGACTTTTAAGGGCTCTTCATACTTTTGACTCTCTGTGCTGAACCATCCTGAAATCCAACTGGACTGGCCTTCAGTGGGTTCTAGTGGGAGACTGTCTTGCACTTGTGGCTCGTCAGTGTCATCTTTTCCAACCAACTTTTTGTTTGCAGGTTCCTGAGTGTGTGATTCCTCAGAATCATTTTCAGAAATTGATTCAGTTCTTTCTTTATTCTGTATGGAGTCTCTTGTATATTTTAGGAGTTCACTTTCATGCAGATTTGGGTCTGCATCAGATGATGAATATTCACTTTCTTTGTTGTGATCATATAATGTGTTATCTTCATTTTCAAAAGCATACTTATCTTCATGAAGACAAAGGAAATCAGTTTCCTAAAAGAAAAATATTAACTTTTAGTATGTTTCTGTAGCACCGTGTAGGAGAGCAATATAGATCATAATTCT